GATAAATTAACTTAAAATTATTTACATAGATATATATTAGAATTAAACAAAATAAATTAAAATTTTAAAATTGCTGAAAATACTTGAAACTTGAAAAATTAATGTATAAATATAATAAATGTATTAACGCGGTTGATTTTCTTAAAAACTGTATCGAATATGGTCTAAATCCTAATATATATATATATATATATATATATATATATATATATATATATATATATATATATATATATATATATATATATATTATTAAATGAAAATTTAGAAATCGCTTTTTAATAAAATCTCAAAAGCGCCTACAATAAGTGCAAGTAAAAATAAATAAGACAAAAGAAAGAAAGTTGATTGTCACTCAGTTAAATGTCAGAACACACATCTATTAACACAAAATCAATAAATAAATAGATGACCAAAAAGAAGTAATACTAATTCAAATGACGATTTTTAGGATTTATCCACACAAGTTATTAGTTATGTACAAAAATTCAATGCAATAATCAACAAGCCTCACAACGAATTATTAACCGACACAAGAATTAAAACAACATAACGATAGTACCGTACCGTCTAATAAAGAACATAAAAAATAAAAAAAAAAACAAAAACAAAAAATTTCGTTTTCATAATCACATTTAATTACAAGAACCGAAATGCTGCTTAAAAAGCAGCAACTTTAATTGTTTACAAAATAGAGAAAATGATATTCCAGGTAGACGGAGTGAGGTTGGCAAATTATTCCACACCATCGGTCCAGCAACAGCAAAATTTCTTTTACCAGTTACCAAACGGGTTTGAGGAACGTCCAGCAAATTCCTATTATTGGATCTCAATCCTGGATAACCAGACGTTGAATCGCGTTTAGTCAATCTACCGACCGAATACGGAGGAGCACGCCCATTTAAAACTTTGAACATCAAAACAGCAATCTTGTAGATAATTCTCTTTTCAATCGGGAGCCAGTGCAGATCCCGTAAAATCGGCGACACATGATCAGATCTAAAACCTCCGACAACTAGCTTGGCCATGCGATTTTGAATTGACTGTAGTTTGGAAATTTCTAACATGAAGACACCGTAAAAAAGGCTGTTGCAATAGTCCAGCCTCAAGTGAATAAACGCGTGAGCCAAACTCTTTAGGGTAATCTCATTAAGTGAATTTTTTATAGCCCTCATCATGCGAAGTTGTCGATGACATTCACCAGTTAGCGACTTTATGTGGCAATCCATTGTCATATTACCATCGAATACAACACCAAGATTACGAGCAATTTGACATAATTCAATCTTACTGTTGTTAATCTCAATCGAAATGAAATTTAATTTGTTTATTTGCTGCCACGTACCAATTGGCAATAATTGGGCTTTGCATTGATTCAATTTGAGTTCGTGCTTGATCATCCAAGAATCAATCGCCTCCATGCACCGACCAAATCTTTCAACAAGAGCTTGAAATGAAGTAGCTGGACCACTGACAATGATTTGTATGTCATCTGCAAACCCATGATGCTTGAACCTGATGAATCAATGATGTCTAAAACGTCAGCAGTGTATAGCAGAAACAGCAGCGGTCCAAGTACTGAGCCTTGCGGTACACCATGCTTTACTTCCTGAACAGATGATAAAACATCTCTGCGTAATACCTGTTGTTTTCGCGCAGAGAGATATGATTCGAACCAAATAAGAACAACACCTAAGATTCCAAAACATTGACGTAGCTTTCCAAGTAAAATCTCTTGATTAACACAATCAAAGGCTGCACTAATATCAAGTAATGCCAAGATTTAGATATTTTGATCATCAATAGCAGCAAACAACTCAGATGAAACATCTATCAGTGCAGTCTCAGTTGAATGAAATTTTTTAAATCCTGACTGACATTTTGGTAGCAGATCATTATGATTTAAATGACAAATTAGCTGTTTGTGGACAATTCGTTCAATAACTTTTGACAAAAATGTTAAATTTGACACCGGTCTATAACTTGATAAACTATTCTTGTCTAGTGTCTGCTTTTTTAACATCGGAACAACAATTGAATATTTAAAAGCCATCGGGAAATGCATTTACAAAACAGTCAAAAACGGGAGAAACGTATGATGAACGTATTTTTTAAATCAAAATTTAGTTGGCAAATCATCCAGTGGGCACGACTTTGTAGGTGAATTCAAAATAACTTGACGAATCTCATCATCACTGGAACAGCACTGAAATAATGAAAGTTCAGCACATTCACTCATCCGATTGTTTAAAACAATAGGCTCTTTGATACTCGTCTCCAGTATGTTGTCAACCTTATCTTTAAAAAATTGAGCAAAATCATCAGAATTTAACTCATCTGACATATTAAGCAAATCAACAGAATTCATCTTGCATAAAACCCTGTTAATTGTCATCCAGAGTTTCTTTGGATTGGAGCCATTTATTTAAATCATATTTCTCCAGTAGGCTTTCCTTTTTTCTGAAAGCAATGACTGTTTTTTCAACATAGCATCAACGAACCTTTTCTTGCTAAAATCCCCAGGATTAAGTCGATAAGCTCTTTCAAGTCTTCTGCAGCGTAGCTTAGTCTGCCTACACTCTTCATCGAACCAAGGCGAAGCAGCATTGTTTCTAGTCATCACATAGTGTTTCGGTGCAACAATATCTATAATATTTTTAACTTCTTTTTTGTAAAGATCAAATAAGTATTCAGGATCATCTGATTTAAAAGGTCCATTAATAGGCGAGTTTATTATGAACGCGGCAAATTTATCAAAATCCACGCGATTCCATGAACGAACCAGTCTTTTTTTTCTAACAAAATAATTTAGCGGAATCGAAAAACATACTTGGACCAGACCATGATCGGAATAAATACCATATGGACCTACGGTACATGAGGACACAGGCAATTCCATTAAGGATACCACTAGATCCAAGATACCACCATGTACATGGGTAGTTTCCTTAACTCTATTTTCAAGGTTAAATGCATGAAAAACATCTACCAACCGGATTGAATGAGTATCTCCAACCTTTTCCAAATGAACATTCAAATCCCCGTAAAAATGACATAGTCCGCCAATAACGAAATCTGTTCCAAGAGTGATGTAAGCTCATCAAAAAATGCAGGAGTAATTGGTACAGAACCCGGTCGATAAACTGCCAATAACAGAATCGTTTTTTTTACCGCACCGAAATTTAATAGCAAGTGATTCAAAGGAATTTACCACTGGTAATTCTATTTTTTTAACCTTGAAAACATTCTTAAAATATACAATTATTCCTCCATGATTAGGGTCGTGTGGGCGCAAATAATCCATAAATGAGAAGCCATAAGGCATAGCCAATTTCACAGAAATATCTTCAGATGATCCATGCCATGTTTCGGTCAGTACACATATATCTAAATCATTTGATAACAAATCACGAATTATATCATATTTTGACCGAATGGATCTAATATTAAGCAATTCCAAATTTAATCCGGTTTGGTAGCAGGCCTTGGATATCTCACTATTCTCCATTGCCCGACCACACCTCTGACCCGATATAAAAAATGACCATCTTTAGATTCCCGCGTTTTTGCCTCAAGAACCAATTTTTTAAGTTGCAGACGCTGGTCCGTTGTAAGGTCATCACTAATCCTCACTTCCCTCATTTTTTCATCCAGCAGCGCTAATCTGAACAATCTTCTCATAACCAGGACTTTTGCAGAAAGGTTGATAAACTTAACAATCACTGGACGCGGAGGAGACGATACGCTTGGCTTTTTACCTTGTCTGAATATTTTCAATATGTCCTCATCTTTCAGAGACTCATCTGTTAGAAACCTTAAAAAGCCAAGAACATTGCCCCTATCTTTAGCAACATCCAAGTCTTCGCTGAAATTAGAGAACTATGTTTTTCTCACGGGCCTTAACTTCATTTACCACTTCAATTGTTTTGCGAACAGAGATGACCTCTTTACTAACTACGTCGAGGTCCTTTTTTACCACATCGGAAAATGAAGTACTGATCATATTTCTCAAGGAAGTAGCCTCGTTATCGACAATTTTAGAATTACTCTTTACCACATCTGACCAAGACTTGGTGATATTGTTTTTCAAGGAATTAATAGACTGGTTAAGTTTCTCGTCTAGTTTTTCTAGCTGTTTTAGGTTCTCACCGCTTGACTCAAGCCTCAACTGCAGACTTTTCATCCCAATATCAATGGAATCAAACGTTTTAAGACGAGAATCAATGGATTCAAATTTTTCGTTAAGCAAATGACCTTTGAAACCATCAGCATGTTTCACGCAATTATCACAATAAAACTTCATGTTTTTACTTTTGCTAGCATATTTCACCAATTCATCATATAAGTCCGAAGGCTCGATTTGAACCACCGCATCACATAAGCAACATAATATGTTATCATCCTTTACGGAAGCAGGTTCCGGAATTGACTGACTTCTCTGAGATCTTGTTTTAGACATGTCTTAATCGAGCACACAAACGAAGTCTATGGAAAAAATGCAATGGTAGATACAGGTCTTTAGCACGATGCAGCAGCTGCACTGTCGAAGCCGTTTCAGCGACAGCCAAGGTAGTTTTATATTCTGCAACAACAATTACCAAAATTTTTTTTCAAATTACTGTTGATATTCCAGACAAAAGAACAGAACAACCGAAACAATGCAATACGTCTAAAAAACAAAGAGTGATAGCTTACAATTTAACAGAAACGTATTTACTTAAGATTTAAACTAAAAAAAATAAATTAGTTACTTAAGTTCTAAATTATTCAAAGAGACAAAATATATTAATAATCCTCTCTAATTAACCTATCAATTAAACCTAATTGGAACAATATGCACTCTGAAAAAACGCTGAAAATTAAGAAAAATTACGAAAAATCAACAATCAACAAATATATCATATATATATATATATATATATATATATATATATTATTAATTATTAAGAAACATTTATTAAACGCTAATTAAACAATTTCATAAGCGTTCTCTCAAAAACAAAACAAAATGTTATATGTGACTGTTCATGAAACGAAAATCAAAGTAACAAATTTTACAATTTCACAGAAAATAAAAATGTCTTTAGTTCTTTTTTAAATAAATCCAGAGAAGTTCCCGATCTTCTTAACATAGGTGGAAGGTTAATCACTAGAGGTTTTACCTCAAAGGATAAAGACCTACTTATCAAATCCTTATGCACATACGTACGTCCTCTGGTTGAATATGCTTCGTCTGTGTTAAATCCACATTACAAATACCAAATAAAAAAAATTGAAGATGTACAGAAAAGATTTATAAAGTTTATCCCGTCTCTACATCATCTCCCATATCTGTCTCGTCGGCATGCAGTTGGAATACATACTTTGGAACGCCAGAGGTTAATTTCTGATTCATGAATTCTGTACAAAATACTTCATAAACTCGTTCAAACAGACCTAAATAGTAATTTAATTTTATCACTGTACTTATCAACTCGGAGACATCAAAGTAAATTGCGTGATTTCAATCTTAGTGACAACTCAACTAAATATTTCTTCTGCAACCGAATTATTCGAATATGGCCAGAGGATGTCGTCTCTTCAACGGCTCTCTGTTGATTTTAACACATTTTTAACTATTAAAAACTATCAATATTATTATAACTATCAATTTATCAAACTTTATTTAATTGGTTTTCCTTATGATATTATTTCGCGAGGAAGGTGGTCATTAATAATATTAAATATGATTTTTCAAACTTATTTTTCCGTGTCGATGTACATTTTATTGAAATTCGTTTATTTTAATTTTTTCAGTCTAGTTAAGTGGTTCTTTATGGCCCTCTGGGACAGTTTTGTCAATAATAAAAATAATATATATATATTTGACAAAATTTCCACATGATAATATTTTGTGTAACTCGATGATTTACATGTGTTAAGTTAAGTACATGACTTAGTCAAATAATTCATGGTGTGATCATATACTGGTCATATATCTTACTAAGTATTCAATCAATTTTCGTTTAGCGTCCAGAGATCTGGTTTCCCGAGGTAGGACGTTGTTTTCTTTGCCATCAACTTTTTGCGCCAAATTAGACGATTAGTTGAATCCATTTCATTTAAATTTAGAGCTTTCATGTCTTGCTCGATTGTTTGCGACCAGGACTTCTTTGGACGGCCTTTGGGACGTGTGCCAGGTACTTCAACATCTGCAAGAGAAGTTATGGCACTGTTTCCACTTCGTTTGACATGACCAAACCACCTTTATATCATCTAAACCAGCACGACGCAGGATTTTGGTAGATTTGATGTGGTCCTTCAGACTAATTCGTTGCATCCATCGGAGCATTTTCATGTCGGTTCGTTGAAGTTGTTGTTCTAGTTTGGTTGTCATTGGCCATGTTTCTGCACCATACAACACCAGACGTATCACAGATTTATAAAGTCTTGATCGTAGTGGTAGTGGGATGTCACGCCGCATCAATATAAAGGTAAGGTATGCCATTAATTCCAGGAAGCACGTATGCGTGCTCGAACGGCAGCTTCAGCTGTTCCAGTACAATTCAGAACATCACCTAGATATTAAAACGATGTGACTTTCTCTACCTTAATGGCTTCAAAAACATTGCTATTTCGAATTTGTTGTTGTGGATTGATGCAAGCAGGACAAACAAAATTGGACACTTTAGATAAAGTACCAATTACTTTTGAACAACGTTTGTGACATCACTGGTTACACTGCTGACACTTGATTGAAATGTTACCAGTAGCTGTGGATTGGCTGGGTTCACCAGTGTCCATTGCTTTGGTTTTGCTGATGTTGACTTTGAATCCATGATCGGCGAGTCTGGTGTTCCAATCTTCAAACATCTGTGCTGCATTCTGCTCAGACGTGGCTGTTAAAACGATATCATCAGCATATATTAGATTCCAAATATCACCAGCGCGTATCGATTTTGTGATTTCTTCTATCCCAGTTATAAATAACAGTGGACTGAGAATCGAGCCTTGGTGAACTCCAACGCTGATGTCAAATGCATCTGTGTTTCCAACCGTTGTGCTGACAAGAGTCTTAGTATTTGTATACATTTCCATCACAAGTCGAACAAGATATTCTGGAATGAGTTGTCGACGTAGACTCCACCTGATTGCTTCACGGGGAACTCGATCAAATGCTTTTTCAAGGTCTACAAAAATGTGTGATAGTTGTTGATGCTTTGCGAGGTACTTCTCTTGCAGTTGCCAAAGGATGTGAATTGCATCAATTCACAATTGCTAGGAAATCAAATTGCATAATTGCATCAATTGCTAGGAAACCAAATTGATAATTTCCGATTGTGATGCACGACGTTAATCTTCTCTCAATGATTTTCTCGACACATTTCAGGGAGTGTTCTAACAGACTTATACCCCGATATGATGAGCAGTTCAATAGATCACCTTTGCTTTTGTATAGCGGAACTAAGTTCCATTCAGCCGGTATTGAGCAATTTCTCCACACTTCACGATACAGAGATTTCATTTCTTAACCTTTGCTTTTAGTGAGCCACTCTCTGCACTGATCTGTCTGAGCCAGTGCGACTTGACGTCTTGTTTAGTTGTTCTTCTCACGGAAAATTTTATGGTATATATCTTACTAAGTATATTAGTCAATATTGTTCTATATGTATGGGTCAAATATGATCAATTATTAGTAATGAAGTAAAATTAAAAACTTGAAATATTTTTATAACCAAAAATCAAAAATCACATCCAAGATGGAAGTATCAGCTGTTGTGATGTTGGTGTAACTTCTGGCATTTAAATTCTCCAAAATTGTGATTGCTGAGTTCTTGTCATCAATATTTCTAATTGTTTTGTTTTTATTTAATTAATGAAAAAATAGTTATAGATTTAATATTAATTAACCTTCTGTTTTAATTGACAGATCATAATATAATATTTTATATAATAATAATTAATTTAATTTTTAATATTATATTTTTAAAATTTTATTTATTAAAACAATAGAATATATATTATTAAATAATTTTAATTTAATTAATTATATTAAAATATTTAAAACTTCTATTTTTAACTTTTAATTTAATTTAATTTTTACTTGGTCTTGAAGTAAAAAAAATAAGTGCATAATTAGAACAAAAATTAATTTTAAATATTAAATTAAAATTTAAAGAATTTAATTTTATTGAAATATAATAATTATATTTTAATTATATTTTAAGTTGAAACAAACTATGCATGGGAAAGGAAGAGATCTTAGAAACTAACAATTAACATACATGCTGAAGAAAGATGTGGTGGAAAATACTTCTGTTTAGTTTGTATCTGCTAATCTTGTTCATACTTGCCCGCATTTTGGAGACATTTACTTATTACCAGACTGGATACTTGGCAAACAAATTAATTGACCCTTTCTCTCTAAGTGTTCAAAAGTTGAAATCAATTCTTGATAGCAGAGGAGTGAACTATGACAATGCTCTAGAGAAGAGGGATCTTTCTGAAATGGTTGAAAACTCAGGTGTGTCTAACTAAACTAACTTAAACTTACTAAAGTAATCATTACTCTATACATAGTAATAGTAATGTGTAATATATTGTAAAGTTTGTCATCCTGCTTTCTTTTTTTAATTAACATTTATTTTGCTTTTAGTAAATTGCAAAAGGTAAATAAAAGCGAAATTACATGACTTAACAGGGACTAAAAAATATAATTAAAATTATACCTAGAATGTGATTTATGTAAATAAAACTTGAATGAATAATTCTTTAATTAGAAAATTGACTTTGTTTTAATTAATTTAATAAAGGAGAGTTAATTGAACGTGAATCCAGTGATATTGATGCCTCAATGTTGAATAAAGAAGATGATGTTGGCCAGAATGTTGTTGTGGATTTCATTGGTGGTGATCATTTCCTTGAAAAAGTTGAAGATACGAAGGATAGTGTTTGGGTTGTTCAGGTTTCAGCAAATAATTTAAATAGAGATATGGGTCAAAAACTAAATAGAAAAGAATGGAATAAAATAGTAAAAACACTTTCTAAATTTGGCATACAAGCTGGTACATTTAACTGCAAAAAAGATTTCAAGTTAGTAGATTATTTTTAATTATAATTTTGACTCCATCTGTTAATTTCAAATTAATAATTAGCTTCTGCAGATCAAGGGAATGGCTGCAGGATGAAATTATTTTATCCATACCAGAAGGGAATTGTTTTAAGGATAAAGTCATCACTAAAACATACTATGGCAGCAAAATGGATCATAAGAGTGTCTTAAAATGGGTCAATCAAATTCTTTCTAAGAAGGTTCAAAAAGTTTTAAACTATGAACAGTTAAAAAGTAAGTGGCTACAATTTGATACAAATAAAGATACCAAGAATGCTGATTGGTATTTCAATGAAAGTACAACATCCGACATCTGCCATGAAAAAATTAAAGTTCTTTTTGTGTCTCCACTGAAGACTCCTCCATTATTTTATTCAGTCATGCCTGCTAAGTTTTCAGGGAGAATTAAATTTGGTCAGGTCAATTTTAATGATAAAAAGCTAAATAAAGAATTATTTCAAATTGTTTTAAACTTGGACAAAATCAATTTATTTAAAAATGATTTTCTATGCAACTCAAGTAAAATGTTTAACATTTTCCCCTCAAATGAATTGGCCTTTAAAGATGTTAAACCTTTTTATTTAGTTATAACTCCAGAAAAACTTTTGAAATTTGGTAGCAAATCCGGTGAACATTTCAACTACAAATCATTTTCTAATTTCCTAAAATTTTTGCATCCAGAAATCAATGACATCTTCATAACTAGCTTAATTATAATGAGTTTTGCCTGCTGCTTTGATGTAATATTTCTCTCAGAAAAGAAATTGTCAAACAAAGCTATCCATTTCTTATGGAGCCTTTTTAAATGCAATGCTTGCCTCATCTGTTTGTGGATGGTGGTATTAGGCACGTATAAATCATTTTCTCAATGCCAAGATGTAATTGATTGTCTTCTATTGTACATCAGAGTCCTGTCTTTCTCCTCCATTGGCAGTCAGATGAGGAATGATTGGTACCAGTACATTCATTACAGGAAGGGATGGTGCTTGCCTCTTTTTACATTCTTCCTCGTCCAGTTTGCTTTCATCACCGTCAAGAAGAAAATATTCAATAGTTCTGAGCACTCAGCCAATCAAAACACCAATCAAGCAGGAGGAGTGTACAGTTTGACCTATTTAGAGATGTTCATCAATCGAATCATGCAATCATTTTTCTCGTCTTCAGAACATGCAAGTCGCTTGCCAACATTCGATCCAGATGATGATAACACTTCTGATTTTGGAATGATGGAAATGTTCATTGAGAGATTGGCAGTACCAGACCTGTGGTTGAGGCCAATTGTATCATCCCAGTACCTTCATGACCTTCCTGTTTGGAGGTTTGCAGGTGTCAGATGCCCTTCCACGAGCAGTAACAATGATTCAGATTATTCCATCGAGCATGAAGATGATGTTCATGCATCTCACATATCTGAAGATGATGTATGTGAATTCAACAACAATTTGAAACAAAAAAGAATGCAGCCATACATTTTCATCTGTGATAAATGTCGCATAGCCCTGCATCCCAGCAAACGCAAACATTCACTCCACAATAAAATGAAAGAGGCTAAGGACAGACAGTCAGCTCTGAAATTAGGAACAATAAAAGCTGCCAAGTATTTGATGGATGGTAACTACAAGTGTGCTTGCAAGCATGATGATTCTAAATCAGACACAGGAATGGTTTCAAATGACAATGCAGATAATGAAAACGATACAACCAATGCTTCGATTTCAACCATAGAAGAACCCATGCTTTCTCCAGTTCAGAAGTTATTAGCATCAATCACGTTTAAAACATCACCTGAGAATATCTCCACTTGTCATAATTTCATAATTCCCAGTGGAGTAATTGAAAGTTCTGATTGCTCTATCTGCCTGGACAGATATAAGAGAGCTGATTATTTGTGTGGTCTGCCATGTGGACATGCTTACCACCAGAGTTGCATCATGAACTGGTTGACCAGGGACAATCACTGCTGTCCTGTATGCAGATGGCCTGCCTACAAAGCAAAGCCGTGTAGAAAGCACCTTGATTCTTAATTTGTTGAATAAATCATACTAATAAAACAACACTAAAATTAGTTATTAAACATACTTTTACTTAGTCACTGATTTGCAATTTGTTGAGATATTTCATATCACAGATGTTATTAATTAAACACATTCATAATTTGGTTTTGCTTACTGTTCAACTAAATTTTTAAAAATATGGGAAATGAAACTTATTTGCTTTTAAGGTTTAACTGAATTTTTAAAAATAAGCAAAATGAAACTTATTTTACTCATGGTTCTTAATTTTACTACGTTTGTTCAATTTGCATTATTAATCATTTAAAATTTTCAGTTGCGACGAAATGCGACACAAAACCTCGCAGCGATCGTTATGTGGTTTTGACTTATTTTGCTTTCCTTCCCATGTTTAATATAGTATCGTGAAGTTGTTTATAATTTATGTTACACGCGAAAAATTAAAGTTGTCTGGTAAGGAGTATAAGGAAAAGCTAGTCAACGACTTTAATGATACTTCAGCTTAGCAGTAGAAATGTTAAACATTGCAAAGACTGACGCTAACGTCACGTTCAAAATTTATTATACTAAATGACTGTTAACAAAATTTTACAAACGAAATAAATTAGTAAATTTCTTAATTATATAGGATAAAAAACGACAAGAATGGTTTTCTTAGTAAGTCTGAACAGAAATGTATATTAGGTTAACAAATAGATAGGTACCACTATTTCATTAAACCAGAAATTCAACAAATGCGTTCGAAGATGGACTCTAGCCAACTGTCCAATCATAGATGACTCTGCTCAGTTGACATGACTGACTCCTCACTTCATCTACTGCTAGGAAATAATTATTAGAAATTTAAATGAGACGAAAATTTGAAAAATTCAAAGTGAGAAATATGATAATTTTACGTATAATCATATAACAAACTGATGAAAGTGGATATAAAAAGTAAAAAATTACTGTTTCACTATTTGGGCTTGATGGTTTTTGTTCTGTAGCAGCTTTTTCTTTCCTAACAATGAGCAGTTCCACTTGTCTTAAATGATATTTTTCTTGAAGAACTATAGACTCCAAACCTGTTCCGTCACTGATCAAACCTTTTGCTTCAGCCAAGAATTCTAAAATGTTAAGCCAATGATGTGACTTAATTTTTAATATTTTAAATGTCAGCCAACCAAAGTAATACACCAAACACAAAGGCATGACAAAGAGGGGTTTTGCTGCTAATTTTACACAAAAAAGCATTTAATTGAAATGTATTGACATCTATACCGTTCTGTTTTAGCTCTAACCAAGTAGTAAACTAGTTTTTCTTTAAACAGTGTAATCTTAAAACAATACATACATTGCTTGGTTACTAAAGAATAATATTATATACTGACTGAACATTAGAAATCTGAACTGATTCCAACTCAATAATTTAGCATAATTATGATTAGAGATTGTTGTTTTTGTAGAAAAGTGCATATCTGTGTTTCCAAGTTACATTTTTTTGCAAACTAGCAATATTTTTTTATTATATCAATTCAGGAAATTAAATGAAGCAACTTTACTTCATGAAATATACTTTAAAAGAAAAGATAATCAATCTTACACTATTTTATACGAAAATAACAGACTAGGAATGTGGTGCAGACAGCAAACATTAGACCATTGTTCCAATCCGCATTACAGCAAACTTAATTGGCAGGTGTGTTCAGTATTTCAACAATTAGTACTTTTAGTACTTTATGATCCACTTTTAATTCACATAGATACTAAAAGATATTACACAGATATCAAGAGATACTACATTCAACAAACACCAGAAACAAAAATGATACGTAATAGATGATTATTATACTAAAGACAACCTGCAGCTTGTTGGTGGTACTGTATGGCAGCATCCCAATTTTTTTTCTTGTAGGCTGCTTCTGCCTTGTTTGCAAAAAAGTGAGCCTAGGTAATAAAAATAAATAAAGACGATAAGATGGCATTAATCCGTATAATTTAAAATTTTTAATAGTAACATTAAACTCTACAAATTGGCAATTCAAAAATCTTCTCATCTTGTTTTATTGAATCTCTTGAAAAACTCAATTGTTAATACCATAATTCTTATAATTTAATCTCAATACTTCATTCATCAGTTAGCTTTATCTATCTATTCTACATTATACTAATTAAAAAATAAAACAATCTCAAAGTTTGACTTTTCAGAGGATTCACTTTTTAACAATATAGGTGAATATAATCTAAATGAATATTTAATTTATAACAACATGATATATATGTCATAATATTATAATTATAATGGATCATTGTTTTATATTTTTGTTATTGTAGCTCTGTCTTTTATTGTAGCTGGTTACTATATACATATACATGTTATTGTTATTCTATTCTAAAGTAAAGTACAGTAATAAAATAACATGTAAGCAGCATAGAATCTATCTATATCTATGCTTATAATTATAATTAATTAAACCTTCTTGTCACAAGGGCCTTACCATCCGCACAGCACTATGCACGTACGCATCATTTATGCATGCATACTTCAAACTTCAAAAGTTAATTAATGCAAAAGTTCTGGCTTAGTCATTTTGAAAAAGTGGATAAATGAAATGAAATCCAAAGATATGAACATTTATATATTATACAATGCATCTACTGCTCTACGTAGTGATCATAACCTAATTGATTAATAATAAAAAGATTAGAGCAGTTAGCCCGTACAGTATTGTACACACACTAGGAATGAAATGGCTTCAAATCTGGATTCAGGTCTAAACAGATTTGGAAAAGATTCAGATCCATCATTTAACGAGCTCAAAATCAACCTAAAGAACAAAAAATTCTGGGTCGGCGTAAAAAGTGAATCTAAATATCAACATTGATTATGTATACTTGAGTAAAATTTAAGTATGTATACTTAAACACCCATAGTTTTTAAATTTAAAAATTTTTAAACATTACAAACTCATTGGGATTTAATAAATTTCTTGATTTGTTTCAGCTAAATCTGCCACAATTTTATTTTTTGTAGAATTTTTCGTTTTAAAACAGAATTTTTGGTTTTAGGATCGTATGCAAATTGGATCCAAATCAGTCCGGATCCATCATCAAGATTCGGATCCTGATACCACAGATCTCAACTCAAGTTATTGGACATGGCACATAAGACATGACATCGTCTTAATAAAATAAAAGTTAATAAATTTTTCTATAACGTTCACAAAACCTGGTTCAAAGGCGAATCCAAAAACTCCATTTCGTTCTCCAAATTAATTGAAACTTCGGAAGGAAGAAAGCACAAAGAAAAGCAAATTTTGAAAATCGTTTATAACACGTTGTTTAAGCTGGAAACGATAAAATTTTTAAAAGTTATGCATATGTAGATTAAATAATTTTTTGGTTTTTAAATCAAAACAAATTTTTTATTTGTTTCATGTAAATTTAAAAAAAAAATTCATTTTTAAATAAAAATTTACAAAAATATATGATAAAAAATTAGAAAACTTTTCATTCTGTTTCACCTGCAAACATCATTAACCAATCAAGTCAGTCAACCTGTAGATTAAAAGGTAATAATAAGAATAATAACAACTACTGTAAAAATATTAACAATAATATAATATTAACAATCAGAATAATAACGATAAGAATAATAATAAATTATTGCTATAATGTGATGAATAAATACTTTTATTTTAATGATTTTTCGTCAATATATAAAATATTAAAATTTTGGTGATATAGAATAATTAAATAAGAAATGAACAAAGCAAAGAACAAAAATATAGTATTAGCTATGCCATATAGTAAATAGGCATTCTAGATGAAAAATTTGTTTACAAACAAACATTATAAAATGGTTTGAATTGCATGGTACGAAATTGTTGAATTAATTATAAAGTGAGTTGTGCAGGGAGTTGTAATAGATACACTTAACTTAAGCACATTACATTGTATGATATGATAACTGTAAGACTTCTTTTAAGTGTTTTAAGATCATAACATTCTTACCATTTATTTGTTAGCCAATGGCACCGAAACAATATAATACTGAATGTATGTGAGTATAGGTACGTTGTTATTACAACAGAAATGTTGTATAATAGTATAACTGATAACATAATGTAATGTAACTTAATCTTAGTGTAATGTATTTTAATGTAAATATAAATGTAATGCAAATTCCATGACTGTGAGTTTCGATAGTTTCCATTTTGATTCATTTTTAATCATTTTTTATTTAATTTATTTTTAAATCAATATCATTCATTATTGATAGTAATAATATATGGAACTAATCTACGTCATCATTGCGTGCGTTCATACAAGCTGAAGCTTGTTGTTCGTAGAAGCAGTAGTACATGGCTATCTGACTACCTACAACTATAACCTATTGTTCTTGGTAGGAAATTGTTGTATGTATATATATATATATAACATATATATATATCATATATATATATAACATATATATATATATACGTATATATATATATGTAATTATATGTATATATATATATATATATATATATATATATATACAACAATTTATTATACAAATTAACAAATACAACAACATATATGTATACATGATCACATACTATACAACAATATATATATATATATATATATATATATATATATATATATATATATATATATATATATCATACTATCTGGTTTTTTAAAGAATTGACTAAACGAGGAATAAAATGGTTTATTAATAATATTATTTCGTGATAATCATGACTAACGAAACAACGCCAAGTGATCAATGAGGTATATTATTATTCATTCACACGTACACGCACACGTACTCACACACACAAATAAATAAATATATGTATATATATATACACATACATATATATATATATTTATATATATATATATATATATATGTATATGTTAGTCATATATGTATATATATATATATGTTAGTCATATATGTATATATATATATATATATATATATATACGTGTGTAATATCATCGTAATTTTAAAATATAAACAATGTTTAACTCTTCGTGATAGCTAGAATTAAATAAAATTATTTACTTTTCTGTAGGTGTGTTATAAATTTTCTATAATTTCTTAAATAATAATATACTTATCATAATAATAAGTAGAAGTATAATAATATAATAATATTAATATTATTATTATTTATTATTTTTATTATATAATAATAGCAAAAATATCAACGAAATAGCAATAACATTTTGATTTGAGTGACAACATCAATATAAATTACTAAATTACATCAACAACGCCAAAATCAACACTAATAACATTAACAACATTGATATAACATCAGCTATAACATTAACAACAAATTTTTTTACACTGTTGTTGACCGCCACAATAGCCACAACAACAACCACCGATCATGGATAACAACAACATAAACAACAACAATAATACTGTTTATAACAGCAGTTGTAACAACAACAACAACATAAACAACAAAAATAACAAAAAAGCTATGGATAACAACGACAACATAAACAACGACAACAACATCAACGACGACAACAGCAACAACAACAACAACAACAACAACAACAACATGATACATAATGTTAATGAATCAGACAGGCTTGAGGTAACGAACATTAATAGTGATGATGTTGTTGGTAATGGCGAAATGATTACAAATAATGATCAAAAATATTCAAAACTTGTTAAGAATGCTTGCAATCAAAATATTCATGATATTAACTCCAACAACAACAACTACAAAAACAACAACAACAATGGTGGTGGTGATGACAACAACAAACGAAACTCCAACAACAACAACAACAACAACAACAATGTTGCTGATGACGACGACAACGACAAGCGTAACAACCACAAAGGTGATAATGATGGTGGCAACGATATTAAACAAAACCACAGCAAAAGAGTAAATAACAACAACAACAACACCGCTAACGACGACAACAACAACAACAACAATAATAATAGTGGTATTAACAATGTAGCTTGTTGTGATCAATTAAACAACGATGACGTAAACAAAAACAACAAAATTGTCATCAACAACAATGATACAAACATCTACACCGTCAACAGTAACAACAAAAACAACAACAACAACGACAACAACAACAACAACCACGCTGATTCAGATAGTTTGAATGATGAAGTGAAAGAATTGCTAGCTAAACTGGAGGAGGCAAACAGGTTAATCAATTAATTAAAAATTCAATTAGGACACTTTGAGAGTTTTAATGGTGTAACTAATTTAGTTATAACCTAATTGATTTTTCATCACACACAACATCATTAACTGCAACAACAAAAACAACAACAAACACGTTAACGCATCAACAACAAATACATTAACATAAAAACTTCAAAAAACACAGCAGCACAACACAACAACAAACAAACACAACAAACCAACAAACACCACAAACCAACAAACACAACAACAAACAAACACAACAAACCAACAAACACAACAACAAACAAACCCAACAACAAACAAACACCACAAACCAAAAAACCCAACAACAAACAAGCACAACAAGTAACAAACACAACAACAAACGCAACAACAACAAACACAACAAACGAACATTTCACAAACGACAACCATCGCCACCTTCCAGATTAATAGAATCAGACAGCAAATGCCTGACATTTTCCAACGAAACTTCTTTCAACAAACATCTTTCGACAACAACATCACCACCAACAACATCAACATCACCAACAACAACTATCCCTAAAACAACACTTCCTCCAACATCAACAACAAAACAATTTTGTCGAAAAAATCTTTCACATATTGCATCAAACAACAACCAAAGTTCAACAACATCTAGTCAACATTCCTCACTGACCAATCAGGGTTCACTCTCTTCTTCGTCAACCAATCAGAGTGCAGATTCGGATTACGATGAATATTATGATGACGTCATTTCTTATAACAAAGGAAAAGAAGACGATCGTAACGTCGGTGATAATATTGCCTGTAGAAATGATGATGTCATCAACGGTTATTTTCATTCATTTTTCATTTTGTAAATTTTGTCTTTCAGTCATTCTGTTATTTGATTGGTTAGTTAATTCATTTTAAATTTTGTCGTTGTACTTTTAGTAATTCAATGTTGTTTTAGTTGTTGTAGTTGTGCATGTTTGTTAGAGACGCACCGTATATTTGGCCAAATTTTGAATTTCTGCTTCGGCCATTTTTAATTATAAATAAGAAATAATTATAACAAATAATTACATGAAATATAAAATTATTATTTTATGAAATATTTTCAAGTGTTAAGTGAAGCAGTTCTAATGCAAATGCGTTGTTTTGTATGCAAATGATTGTATGATTAATGTTTATTACGGCGCTCTGTATAATTTTATACACATACACATAAACAAAAGTATATAATTTGTGTATGTATTTGTATGTGATGTGTGTGCTTATTCACGTGCGTGTATGTGTGGTGTGTGTGTATGTGTTAATTAGTTTGTGTTAGTATGTATGTGTGAGTGTGTGTGTATGTGTGTATGAATTTTAATGTATGTGTTTTAAAAATAATAATATAAAATAAACAATACACACTATATACACACCACACGACGCACATACACATTTTGGCGTAGGATAATTTTTGAGTTTCGGACAGACAGTATTCGAACCAGGTCATCGCGTAACTACAGCCCGAGACATGGCACTTTTACCAACTGAACTAACTCCGCGACGGTTAACAAAAAGTAGAAAAATGACGACAATAACAAAAATATTAATAATATTTATTATAATAATAATAATAATGCTATGTGTAATTACTTCAAAATTTTTCATAATTATCTCAAAATTTTTTCAGAAATCGAAAGCGAATCCTGGTCGAAATGGAAAGATGTGGTAGAGAATTGGAGCAAATATAAGATGGATGGCGTCTACCTAAAGGTCTGTATGTCTGTCTTCGAAAAAATTACCGATTGCATCTTCATATGTTTGTTTATTTGTACGTGTGAGTGTGTGATTGTTGTATGCATGTGTGTGTGTATGTGTGTGTGTGTTTGCGCGTGAATAATATTTAAATTATAAAATCATATAAATGCAAAAGTACAGGTAAAAATTTATTCTAGCAAATACACCCGTTCTTGGTATTTATTTGTACCTGCACAAAAGTGTTCAGGTACCTATTCGAAATAGGTATAGAATTTTGAAGTAGTAAAAATATTTTACGTACGTCTTTCTTTGAATGTCTTATAATAATAGTAATAAAAATAAATAAATATTAATAATTATAATTGTTATTATTTACATATATTTTTTTATTTCACGAAATTGATTAATGGAATTAATAATTTTTTTAGGTATATTTTAAAAACACATTTAGTACCAAAAGCTGATCATTAACATAACTTATTTTTAGGTCATTTGCATGTTAATCCTAATACATATATAAACATATTGTTTTTATATAACAATATATGTGATATATAAATATATATCAAAAGTGAAAAAAATATGTGTACGTGTGTCTGTCCGTCTGCGTGTATGCCTGTGTGTGTGTGTGTTGTGTGTGTGTATGTGCATGTGTATGTGATTAACGGTTTGTGTTAAATGTTGTTACAAAGGGCTGGTTGTATGCATTTATATCATCTGCGAGCTAACAGCGTCATTTGTTTTTCTTGCTGTTGCAAAAGTTAGTAAGTCAGTGACTACTTCACTAATTTTAGAACAACAACAACAACAACAACAACAACAACAGCAACAACAACAACAACAATATAACACTAACTAACGCTCACGAAGTAACTGAATTTTTGCGTGAATAAGTTAAGCGCGATCCTCTGTTTATATATATATATATATATATATATATATATATATATATATATATGTATATACCGACCTATGAGTGAACGCACGTGCTAACATACAAAAACACACACATACATACACTCACACATACTCTCTCTCTCTCTCTCTCTCTCTCTCTCTCTCTCTCTCTCTCTCTCTCTCTCTCTCTCTCTGCACACGCAAACACATACACAGCCCAGACTGATCACGCATTTGTGTCTTTCTACACTCGTCATCGCCATCATCGTCACTGTTCTTCTTTTTGTCTTCACTCTATTATCATGACGGAAGTTGTGATCATTAATTTTTTTTGTCGTTTCAATTCGATAATATGTGGTCCATAACTTATTATAGAACTACAGAAAATAATCACGCTGTAAAATTAACTTAGACATTTTTTTCTTGCGTTTCATTGAAATTCCACAGAACTTCAAATAACCTTCGAATAGGAGAAATGACTTTAAATGTTCCCGTAAGTCCGCATGACACACCGCATCAACCATCCCACAAAAAATACCAGGCCGAAACTTGATCGGCAATTATAGGAGTCGTTGCAAATTTGTTAATGAGTTCCTTTGTTGGCAGTTGCGTTTTTAAAACTCTGAAAGAATAGAACCCCACAAATCTTTAAGCGTTTTCTTATCTTCAATAAGTTAGATATTATAATTTGTTTTCTGTTGTCAAAGTTGATTCCTGAGTTTCGAGAATCAAATTATCTGATGCGGCATAAATTTGATGTAAACCAAATTGTTGGCATCGACAGACAGCACGCATTCAGATGACGTGAACGCTTCTTAGAAAATTTAATTTGAGTCTCGGTGTCAAGATAAAGTAACATCACTTATCGTAAGAAGTACTCGTTATCTAATTTGAAATAGAAGATGGCTGTTTTAGAATTGGCTTTATTATTCCTAACTAAGATTTTTGGTATTAATTTATTGAAGCACACAGTTTTATATTATAAATATTAAACATTTTTTTTACTTAAAAAAAGATTAGATGATTTTTAAATATATTTTTGTGGAAAAATTAGTCAAACGGAAAATCATTTTTATTACTTTTATATTACATTATAATATTATTGTTTTAGAAATTTTTTCAAGAGGCCCTTTAAACTCAAAGGGTCATGCCAAATGACCCTTGTTTTTCAGGGCCTGCCATCATCGTCATCGTCGTCATCACCATTATCATCACCATATCGTCGTCATTATCATCTTCATACTTAATCATCATTGAATTGTTTCAATCTCAATTGAAAACATCTTTCATTATTTATATCACGAAAAGGGCCTCAAATATAGATTAGATATATGAATACTCTCGTGCCATTGTCATTCCATAAAGATATCACCATCATTTCATCATGACGTCACCATCATTTCGTATATAGGTATCGTTATCATTTCATAAAGATGCAATCATCATTTAATGATAATTCATTGTTTGTTTATCTTAACACTTACACGTGTGAATTTTAAATTTATTCCCATCAAAGATTATCACATTGATTCAACGTCAACACTATCATCGTCATCATCGTCATCATCATCATCATTATCATCATCGCCATCGTCATCGTCATTATCAGTTTTCACTGCCATCAGTCCCAACAACACTAACAACACAGAAACGCCGCTAACAAACACACAAACAACAACGCCACGACACCAACAAACACAACAGATCACAAACATCAACATCAATGAACACCAACAACAACACCAAAAGACACATCAAAGCAAGCAAACAAACAAACAGACAGACAGACAGACAGATACCAACATAAACACTTTACCACACACCCCCCATCAGAATCTCGTACACAGTCGTGGCATACCGCAGGCCTTCAGAGGCACCGCCTGGTTCCTCTTGAGTGGTGCAAGTGAATTGGCCGATGCTGACCAATACAAAGATTACTTATGCAGATTTTCCAGGTTCGAACGCATGATCAGGAGGGATGTTTCTAGAACTTTTCCAAAGCACAAGTTGTTTGCTGACGAGGGAGGTCAGGGTCAAACCAGACTGTTCAATGTTATGAAGGTTGGTTGGTTGGCTGGTTGGTTGGCTGGTTGGTTGGCTGGTTGGTCAGCTGGCTGGTCAGCTGGTTTTATTCAGCTGGTTGGTCAACTGGTTGTTGTGTGGTTTACGTTGCATTGTTAAGTTTGCTGTCGTCCTCTTATTGGTGATATTGTAGTGCGAATGGTGATGCCGCACATCTCATCATTGCTGTAATAATTACACTTCCAACGATCAATACAATGATCGCTGTTTATTAGGCTGATGATAATAATGAGTGATGAACACAATAGCGATGGTGATGATGATGATGA